ATGTCATTTCTGCACTCTAAAAAACAATTCAGTGGATCTGTTGCCACTACTTAATTTAATGCATTAGTGCAAGTTAAAAATCCCAATTTATTGATTTAATTAAACATTTTAAGTTTTAAACATTTTTTAATGAGTTGTCCTGACATCTAAATGTTGATAATTACATCAACGTAATACTGTGTGTAACTTCAACTTAAATATCTGTGTTAGTTTGTTTAAAACATTATTTAAGTTGTACTAACTCAATGTAATTAGCTCCATAACTTCATTTTTTCAAGTTCACGTTTCAGGTTCCCAGCATGCTTTGCATGTGACTGAATAATGAGCGGTAATGTAGAAATAAACTCATATTTTAAGCATTTCTATTTAAGATCAGAACAGGAGAAGATTTATTAGTGTTCAGTATGTTCAGTTCATAATGTTCAGTTCTTTTAGTATGATTGAATCAAATTTAAAACAATATGAAAAAACAACTTAATTGTTAGTTTTAACACAATTTTTTTAAGTTGAATACTCATACAAATTAAGTTGTTCTAAGTATATATAGCACAATATAGTTTACTAGTTGAACTTAATTTCAGAAGAAGTTGACTTAACTCAAAAAAAATGATGCAAACTGTTGTGTGAATTTTTTTTGTTGCGTCCAAACAATATTTTTTAGAGTGTGTTTTACTCATTTTTATTCTGGATTTGAATCAGTGCAGTAGGTTGCAGTGACAAACAGCAGTAAAGGGGTGCTGAGATTACCTGCAATATAGAGCTAAGAGAGATAGTCATATGAAAATTTATGGCAGATTATGGACGTACTTTTTACAAGGCTCCGTACAGTATCCAACAAAATCATATCAGACAAAAGCATAAAATTTAATTAGTTCACTCAAAATTTAAAAAAAAAAGTAATTTACTCACCTTCGTATTGTTCTAAACCTGACTTTCTTGTTTATTGTAAGAAAATGCTATCGAGCATATTGTCAAGCTGATCTTTTCCTTAGAATGTACAATAAGTGAATAGTTACCCCAGCCATTTCTGCTTTTATCCACTTTTATTGTATGGAAAAAATAGGATACTCTCCTAAATATCCCATTTTGTTCCACACAAGGAAGAAAGCCTTACAAGTTTGGAACAGCATCAGAGTGAGCAAGCGATTATAACATTTAAATTTTACATTTTTTTAGTGAAATATCCCTTCAAGTTAATACAAGAATAAAAAAAAAAGTAAAAATACAGTGGTTGTCTTGAGAAGGGGTGGTAAATATTCCTGTGCATAGGGGGTGTCGACCTTTTCAAAGCTACTAGGTCATCTGCTCCATATTTCAGCTGCCATATTTGATTAGCTCGTTCCAAGAAAACGCTTGTTTGAACATGCTGGAAAAGGAACAAGCTTTTGTTCTTGACAAGACAAAATCGTTCTTAGAGGCGACAGAGGCCATATTGGTGTTTAACAACTGCCAGTTTAAAAGTGAGAAAAGACAGAAAGAGTACAATTTTGAGACAAAACCTTGAACAATGAAGCTTTGTTCTGTCATTTTTTATTCTAAATTATATTCATTGTCTGGGTATAAAGTCTTTGAGACCATGGCATTTTTTTGTGTGTAGTTCTCAATGCTTTTGAATTATTTGCTAAAATGCTGAGGGATTAGTTAAAGGAATATCAGAGACTCCAGGGGACTGTAAGGGCATACAAAAAGATATATAAAAAAATAAATAGAAAAGTTTTTTTTTGACCCAAACTTACAATAATTGTTTTAATAATTAATTCAATATTCCTTACTATTAAAAATGTTGAAAATCCCTGGTCTATAGCATGTGTCTTTTGACAACACGCAATAAGTTTTCAGTTACACAAAGAAAGAAAAAGGGAAACGGAAATGAAAAATTTACAAAAATGCCTTTCATATGCTTTCATGGCACTTGAAATATACAGGTGCATCTCAATAAATTAGAATGTCATGGAAAAGTTCATTTATTTCAGTAATTCAACTCAAATTGTGAAACTCGTGTATTAAATAGATTATGCACCTGTACAGTATAGTAAACCAGTCAAATGAACTTTTATGTTTCAATGGTGCTTTGCCTTTTTTAAGCTCAACAGCAATGATAGGGAAAATATGCATTTGTATGAAGATTCTTACATTTTTTATTCCATAAAAAATAACTTGACGACATGAGGGGGTGATTAAATAATAACAGAATTTTCATTCTGGGGTGAACTATTTCTCTACTTAAACTCATCAGTCTGAGATGTCATTGCTTAAGCGCTCATAATTACAGCTTTCCCGAATTTTGGCCAGCACTTGTGAAGCCGACGTTTATTAGTGGCGATGAGAGCTCATCAAATGCTCCATTTGGGATCCAGCTGCAGTATGATGAGGAAAGATGATTGCATGCTCTCATTTCATTCATCAACATTAGCCACAACACTGATCAGATATAACTCAGTTCACATGATGCACCGGCCATGTATCATTTAATAATGCAGAGGGACTGTCAAATAAATCAGGAGATAATGAAAGGAGGAAGAATATAATTGCTTAATGCTGTTTCCACTTCGGAAGTGCTAAATTTCTAAATGACAGTGTGATCATTAATCTGTTTTTCAAAGTCAGTTACACTTAGAATAGACTTTAAATTCTAATATCAACACTGATTGTATTATTGATTATTGGTCTACTCTACGGTATGCCATTAGCTATACGGTCAAAGTTACTTAACCAGTTAATGCAGATAGATTTGTAACCCATTACGTCTTTTTCACTGTTCTCTCAATGACCAGAATCAGATTTAAAATGTTACTAGTACTGTAGTACTACCTTTAGTAGATGCTCTGCAGGAAAGAGCTAAAATATTCAGCATATCTGTCCACTTTTTTAGCCGCCTTAACAGTATTTCTGATTAATTTTCTCCATAAGCATTTTTCCCCATAGGCAGAAATGTTTTAAAAAATACCATAGAAATTCCAACCATAAAAAGTATTTACAAATCAAGAAATGAATAATTATTTGCAATATCATAATCCAGTGGAATGTCAGAAACTTGGGATAAGAAACAGAAAATTTCACACTAGCCTTGAAAACAACTGGGAACGTTTTATTGCTGGACATAGTTGTCAAGAGTGAAAGCACTAACTGATGAACAAAAAAAAAAAAGAACACAAAATCAAAATTACAGCACACAACTCTTGAGTGCTGTGATGATAAAAAAGAATGAATATACATGGGAAAAAAAGGAGGATTTGCAACTACTGCCAGCACGAATGCAACAAACCCAGAAGACTGCACAACAACAGCGCAACATGGTGAAAATCATAAATACACAGAATGAGACACAGACTAAAAATAATTAATTGTGAGTTTCAGAAATGTGGTGGCAGTATGAATCCAATCAATCATCCACCTTTATTTTATGAGCTCTTGTAACCTTATTTAAATAGAAAACAACAATCGGTTGTAAAATAACATGGAGCTTTGATTGTGTGGAGGGTGATTTCTACCAGATAACGTCTTATGGTTTTCAAACATCTGACTCAACACCATCAAGACAGATTAACATACAATATTCTTCCATAACACTTTATGCAGGTACAGTTGTGTCCAAACGTCTGGGACCGCAGAGGTAAAATTCTTCTATTTTGCATTTATCAATTTTTAAATTTGTTGTCATAAAATAATATAATAGAATTAGTTTGTGTACATAAATGGAAGCAGGGAAATCTGACCCTTTGTCAGATTTGAAGTTAGACAAATTAGCTTATCTGATTAGCAACATAAAAATTAGTGCAGAACCTTAAATATTTCTTTTCACAATATTACTTTATTTATTTTTTCTCCCCAAATCCCGAAACCTGTTAATTTCCCTGCTTCAGATTTTCAGTGTGTGCTCAGACTTTTGGACTTCACTGGATGAGCTACAATGAACAAAGGTGTTTGTTCAGTTTGTACAGAAAGAGTATGAAAATGTCAAAATCAACTGTTATGTACAATAATGAGCTACAAAGTACCGCATCTATGATGCAATAAAATATGTAAACATATTTATTGTTTGACACAGATGACTGTGACAACATGAAATATACACTTTTGTCTTCCTCAAATAAATTAATATTTCAGCCCTCCTTCAGTCGTCATGCTTTGTTCAGTTGATCCATATGCGAATTGTGTGTGTGTGTAGCATATGACTTAAGAAGTTAAAATTAAAGAGGGATTCCTGAATTTATTGTTGAATGTCTAATTTTCAATTTGTAAAAGATGGATGCTTTTCAGTTGAATCTGGCTATACATGTCAGAGCTCAATCAGAATACAAATGTTAAAGCAAATTAGTCCTTGACAGATACCGGAAGAGAAAAGGATGAAAAATAAAAGCAGAAACGAAGGAAAAATTATTATAATACAATTAAAAAAAAAAGAAGAAGTAATTTTTCCACAGTAAACCCCTGAAAAAAAATACAAAAATAAAAAAAAAATAAAAAAGACAAACATACCATTTGTTTAATGGAACACTTCTCCAGCGTGGGTTCGAAAAGTACTGTTTTATGGCAATTTTTCCCACTTTGCATCTCCAAAACAACATCCTCTGGTTCTCCTCTTTGCAAAGATATCAGTACTACATCACACACATCACATGCATGTCCAAAATCATGACCATTACCCATGATCATCATTGATTTGTACAGGGTTACAATGGACAAGGGCTGCTTTGTTTTTTTTTCCTTCGTCTTTTTTTACACCAAGGATTTTGTACCTTAGAAAGTCACTTGAGGGATAACAATGTAACAATGAGATATTTTACACTGGCATTGTCCCACAAACAGACAGAAAGTAAGGTATCAAGGTCCCCAGAGTCCTATCTGCCTTCTCCCTATGCTTACCGTATGCTTAAGTGTGCTTCAAATCACATAACTTGGAAATGGGTTCATTTTGACTCAATGTGTTTGAGTTCTTAAAGGATTTTCTGTGTAAAATCACTGTTTTCTGTTCAAGATTTCTCAGATGTTATTCTGTCTATGTTTTGTCATTCAGATTTTGTTTTATACATAGTATTCCTTGTCCTTGTCTTTGGGTCTCTTGTTGCTGGCACCCTTAGTGCTGGGCTGTTTGTCTTTGACTACGGTGCCATTATTCTGTGCGGCATTGCTGATGTAGTTCCGCGTTTCATCTACCTGATAGGAGCCCTCGTCCCTGTTCCTGTATTTGTACATGGCATAGAGGAGAATGAGGATGCACAGGGCGGCAGCAGTGACGATACCCACCACCATACCCGTAGTGCTGCTGGACTCACGTATTACCTCCGAGGCACCAGGAGGCACTCTCCTGATACCTGGCACGGTGGTCAGAGCACTAGGAATGGTGCGCAACATGGGCTGGGTGATGTACGGCCCCCTCGGTTTGGTGCCGTCCATGTCGAAAGATGTGGGGAGTGGTAATAGCACTATGTCCGGTTGGGGTTTGATCTCACGGTTGTTCATTTTCCCAGCTGGGATTTTAGGAGCGGTCTCAGACGTGACGGGTGATGCCGCTGAGCTCCTGAAGTCAGGCAGAGGCGGGATGGCCGTAGTCCTGCCTGCCTCAGAGGCCTTGCTAGGTTTAAAGTCCTTTACTTCCCACTTGGGCGCGAGAGCTTTGTAGCCACCTTCGTAGGTCGACGTGGTCAAGATCTTATCTGTTACCAGGGAGAAGGTGGTGTAAAAATCTTCATCGTCAGTAGGGGGGAGGCTAGAGTCGAAGGCCTCCCCAGAGCCAAACCCCGATATCACCAAGCCATCACCATCATCACCATCATCATCATCATCATCACAATCATCGCTGCCTTGGTCCGACAAGCAAGGTACCCCCGCTTCGGTGGCAATTGACAGGGACTCTTTGGTGGTCTCAATAATGGTGAGGACGGGGTGAAGGGTCGGGGGAAGGGGGATGAAAGGGGCTCGAGTGGAAACAGGGGGGATATCTATGGGATCCTCAACTAGAACAGGGATAACTAACTCCCCTCCTGGCAAGCAGAAGAAAAAGAAAGGAAATTAGTGTCCATTCAACTTTGGCAGCTTGCAAACAGGCAACTGTACATGACCAATTAAAGCAAAGCAAGAACATCTGGAAAGAAATATGACAAAAAACACTCGTCTAAACCAATGGCCAAAACAAACCAAGAAAGAACTGAAAGAGAGAACAGAAATGTAAAAATGTGAGGTAAATTTATCAAAGGGCTTGAAGGGACATGCAGGGTCTTGAGCTTTCTTTTTGGCATACTCTGTTTAACTGACCTCTACGTAGAACACTGATCACTCACAATTATTGCACCCCTGCAACTCAGAGTGACTGATACAAGCAAACCATGAACATCTTTGTATCGCTACGTGTAGATTTGTGTAGAAAGGTTAAAATACAAAACTGAGCCGATCCGTTTTGAGCAACTGCTCACGTTGTGAATTCATTTAGGAAATTTATGTCTAAGCATCCTGTTGGATCAACGAACATAAGACCAATGAAGAGCGTAATATATGGAACACTCCCAAAAAATACAATTATTGTATTGAGATTTCTAATTTTCTGAGCGGCTTATCAAGTCTGTAGAGAAAATCACTTTATTTCTTTTCTCTTTCAAGTCTGTCACACTTGAAATGAAAGCCAATTGCCTTTTGACAGTTCTTATAAAATTGCCACAATGGCACAAGTCATATGACAGTTCAGCAACACCTGAATGCTTTATGTGAACACTATGTCATACCATATACAATTCGCATCACTCAATTTGACAGAGACAGTTTAATTTTTGAGAACAACAAACACATTGGGCTTCACTGAAACAGACTGAATTTTAGTTAAAATGTAAAACCATTTTAGGTAAACTTGCGTTCAGCTTGATTTACTGAATAAGGCCCAATGTTCTTATGATTGATTTACACAAACATGTTCTGGTTGTTTTTTTCTTGAAGGAGATCTATTATAAATTGGACTTGTTCTTGAAGATTTTCTTTTTTTTTTTTTACAAGTCATACATTCAGATGGTGGTTGAATCTGCTCAAACTTACGCCAAGGTGGCTTTGCTGATTACAAACAGAGGGCACTATAAGGCAACACAGGTCTCAAACAACGGACCAAAAGAAATAAAAGGAGAGGAAAGAAAAATAAAAGCAATGCAAACAATGGTTAATGGTTAGAGCAAAGCACTAGAAACATTCGCAAACCAAATGCACAGAGAGTCAAAAAAGAGAGTAGTAAAGTAAATAAAAAGAAAATTAGTCAAAAAAAAAAAAGCCCATAAAACAATTCATTAAAAGGTGAAAGCATACCATCAGTTCTGTGACTTACATCAACAAATTGCCCGCAGGATTTTGGCAGGAAGAAAAAATTTACAAAAAATTAAGAAAGTTGTGTAAGAATGCTTGGGGATAAGTATGGTTAATCTGTAATGATTTAATTAGGCAATCAATTTATCATCTGATTTTATCATATTTTTTTCTTAGACAAGATGATACAGGGAGGCAACGACACATACATTCACACCATGACATGAAAAATAACTTCACCATTCTGCTCATTTGTTTTTTTTTTTTATAAATAAATCCTTTTCTCTTCAAAAGAAAACTGTACATTTTCTTTTTTAAGATGATTTTGCTTTGAAGTATCTACAGATACATATTTTCTTTGTTATTTTTTAAAAATGAATTCTTTAAACAATTGAATGACTGTACATACTGTACCATTGCTAAGAGGAGAAGGGGAGAGCCAAAAGAGAGAAAGAGGGAGGGAGAGAGAGAGAGAGAGAGAGAGAGAGAGAGAGGGAGGGGGAGGAAGGCCTATGAACAGACTAGGTAGGAAATGACATAGATGGAAGTGAACGTGTACGTCAGTTGCCATGTCCATGTAAGGGCGGTACGAAGCGGTCGGGCGGCAATAGAGCTTTGGGCTGTAAGGAAGGGATGGGGATATACAAACAATGAGCATATACATGCCCATCTACCGGGTCATATAGCACTCTCAAGACTGACACTCTTACAGACCCTAAGCTGCAACTTCTGTCCCATGCAGTTTCCATTTTTTGAATTTAGATTTAGAAGTCAGATTTCAAACTGGGAAAAATGTTGATCAATATTTAACTGACTTTGAACATTTGGAGTAGATAGTGGTGAGGAATTAGCATCTTGTTTTTTTTTTCTTGATAAAAATGATGTGTATGTATAAATATATATATATATATACTGTATGGCTGTATATACCGGTATACAGTTCTCAAATGCTTTTAAATATTGACCAAGCTAAACAAGAAAAAAAGAGAGAAGCTAAACAAGAATCAGTATAGAAATTATAATAAAAAATATACCAATGTATTATTATTTGAACTTTGAAGGAGAATTCCATCCAAAAACCATTGCCAGAGATATGCTGAGAGCCAAACATCTGGACCACTTCATACTTCATACACTTCATACAAACATCAAACAGACAGCTCATGGTCATTTTTTATTACTACTTAATTTTAGGTTTGTATAAAAATCATACACAGAACTGATTTTAAAATCCAAGTGTTTGTTCGTTTGTTTATTTATTTAATCTAATCAAAATGTTCCAAATGCCTCTAGTCAGCATACTGATTCGTGAAAACTATGGAAATGCAGCATTTTGGATTGAATTCTCTTTTGAATAATTTTATACAAAAACATTTAGATATACATATACAGTGGATAGATAGATATATACATATATAAATATACACAAACCAGAGGATATATATGTATACATGTATAAACACAAAAGCAATAAAAACACATATAAATAACTGAAAATTCTCTCACACTATCAAGATTAAAATAATCAGAAAGCACATAGTGAAGTCAAACAGAAGAGGGACACTGTACTGTCACCACCTTCGCAACTAATAATACCATTATTAGTTTTCTTTTGTAAATCTCTTGTTAGTAGCTTGACAGCACAAAGCAAGGATGTATTTCAGGAAAAGAGGGAAAATCACTTTTTTTTTTTTTTTAGATTTTCACTGCAAGGTGATATCATGCTTTTTAACAAGTTGCATTTAGGGAAAGTAGAAGCCCAGCACTGCAAGCTGGGATCAGAAGGGCTGAGAACAGGGTTACAGGATATTGAGAAACTCATAGGCAAAAGGCTGTGGGATATTGTATATACCTGTACCAACTTGAATTATACAGGTCAATCAACAAAATCTCAATACAAAGATAAAGACCTATTGATATTATGACCATTTGAGTATAATGTTAATCCTGAATGTATCAAGCCAATTTAGAACAGAAATATTTGGCAGAGATCATTGCATAACCAACAGCCGTTCGCTCAACATTAATGACAATAAAGACTGTGGGAATTCCATAAAATGGCATTCGTATAAGACAGAAACCATTTTACAGATATATTGAATAACCATAATACATTTACATAAATATATTCATGTTTGTATGTATGTAGTACATGTGAGAGATTGATATCTTGTGTGCCTGACCAGTATGGGTTTTTAATAGTTGATTATCTAGTGAGCTTCGTATAGCAACCAGCAAAAAGGTTGCTTTATCACAGCTTTGTTTACTGATTCTCTGGACCATCCTGAGCTAAATTAATTTATTGACTAAGTGATTTTAAAGGCTGCTTCAGATGATTTCATCAAGATGAAAGCATCTACTAAAACCACAGGCACAAAGACAGCACCACAGTGGATCCCCACGTGTCCTGGTAAATACTTTAATCTTACATTAGTACTTCAACAAGCAATGATAATTTTCACAGTGTTTTAGTTCAGCGCAAACATTGTGTGCTTGTTTTAGGGGACTATATTTGCTTTGCAGAGCGGAGATAGGAGGAAATGTTCTTTGGGCAAAGCTCCATTACAAAGCAAACACTTCTACACTGCATTAAGCCTCCAGCTCAGATAGATTGCAGTGTTCTCTGCATTTGCTTACAGGAGTTAATTCTTGAAAAACAAATTTGAAGGGCCGCCCTCTTTCTCAGCTGTTAACACTCTCAAAAAAAACAATGTCTTCTGCGCAGAACTTTCAGAGCGGAGAGAATGCGAAGCGAAATAAATTAACCATAACAGCTGACATTCACAGTAGTGCTCTCTCTCTCCTGTGTCCCCAACCAAATCCGAGCGTCCTCGGTATAGATATCCGTGTCTAAGCTCCGTGACCATTTTGCTTTCGCTGAGTCTTGCCAAACAGTGATGAATGCCGCAGGTGTGTGGGGCTAAACCTGCCTGATCCCCTAAAAGAAGAGTCTGTGTGAGCTGGCCCCTGTGCTTCAGAAAGCTCACTGCAGTCAAATCCTTTTGTGTCAGCCGTGCATTGTGCTCGACCTGCGACTGTTGCGGTTCTTCTCCTTCACCTCAGCCTCTGCTAACTCATCACCAGTGTAAGAACTAAAACATGTGGGAAAGGAGAAGTCCGCATAAGTGACGTGACATGTGGCCAAGTATGGTTACCCATACTAGGAATTAGTGCTCTGCATTTATCCCATCCTAAGTGCACACACACAGCAGTGAACACACACACACCGTGAACACACACCCGGA